TTCTTCTGAAATTAAATTAAAATTAATAATAAAAACTAATAACTGTTAATAAAAATTAATAAAATAGAAAATTATATATAATCATTAATAAAATTATAAATATTAATTAAAATTAGTAATGAAATTGAATGAAAATTAATAATATCTAATATTTAAGAGGAAGTGTTATTTATAATACATTAATTAATGACGTAATGAAAAAAATGAATTTATATTACCTTGGAGATCTCTAGAAAATAAATAATTATCAGCGCGAGCTACAACCGTCGTAGTTTCGCGTAGTTTCGCGCTAGCTGGCGAGATAAAGCTATCGTTCACTTCACTCGCGCTCGCGCATCTTTTCTCGCACTGCAGTTCACATTACCCCGTTCAGTTTACCCTAAATAGATACTCAGTTGAAAATCTTTTATTTAATAATGTTTCGGTTATATGTTTTAATCGTATGTACATATATGTTTATAAGCTTGTTTTAATACAGAAAAAGTTTTTATGTTAAAATAGTATGTTTATGATACATTTATCCAAAAAGCTAATTTGAAAAAAAATCATTCGGAGGTATCTAAAAATTAATTCTCATTTTCTTAAATGAATCTACATTGTTTAGTGCCTAAATCTGTATAATTATCATCGTTGTGTTATATAAATTCAGTATGTGACAAAAATTTGTAAACATGTTTTGTTTTCAAATAAATAATTAAAAAAGCTCACTTTGCCCCAATCTTTCCCTTGATTGTACAGTAACGTTACAAATACGTGCAATGATCTTGTAAAAATTTATTAGCGCCTTTACAACACACTTATAATTATACAGGAATACTTACAAACTTCTAAATCTTACAATTCCCTTCAAAAATGTAAACAATTGCCCTAAAACAAAACCAGGCTCTACAAACGAAATGTTTACCGCCTTATGCAGTGAGGTATGTAAAATTGTTTCTTAACGGCGAAATTCTGTTTGCCTAGCTCGTCACTTGCAGTTGAAGTGAATCTACGATACAATTAACAAGGCTAATTGTTCATTAAATCGGGGGACAACAATTTTTTTCTTGAATCGATATTTTCTTTACATAGGAGCAATTGTTTTCACTTTTTTACTATTTGATTAATTTTTTTAAAAGTACCTTGTTTGTAAACAAGAAGCAGCTATTACATAGGTACATATAATGTATTCAAATTTTTACTGAATTCATAGATATCCGCCGATTATTCCGGAATTATCCGATTATTAAGGAATAAATATATATTTTCTGTTCCAATTACTTAAAATTATAAATGCAAAATTTATAAGAAATTGCTAATTTCTAGGCTTTATCAATATTGTCTTTAAATATTTTAGTATATTTAGTATATTATTTCTTCTTTAGTATATTATTTCTTCTTTTTTTAGTATATTTAGTATATTATTTCTTCTTTTTATTAAAAGTCATATAGATAAAGTTTATTTTTACTTTCACGAATGTGAACTTTCCATTTTATAATTACTGTTTCACTGTTCGGTCGTAATGAAAATAATTACCTTTTGTATTGGTGCATAATCCATAATTTCTATTTACTTTCTTCGAATCTGGGTATTTACTTTGTACGTTGGTCCGTATTTCGTATGTCATATTTCGCGATAGGTTGTTTTAATATTAATGAAACAAATGATGGTAAAGTAGTCCAGAACCGAAGTAGATGATGTGGAAACGGATTTGTTCACTTACGTGTAGATAATTAGTTCGGATAGTTTATTAAAAAAATTAATTGTAAACTGATGAAGCGATCTGATACAATTCCTTTTGTAGAAGATACACCTACTTGTGCCTATTTCCATTTTTACTTCTCGTCATGTTCTGACTTATCGTGCGTCACAACGCTCGTTCTTCCATACTTCAATGTTTTTAAATCTCGCTTAGTTGTTTTATAATACCCTTGGAAGATGTACCCACAAGTGAGATCGTCAAAAGCGTTATCTCTTTAACGCGTTATTGACAAGAGAATTAGAGTAGTAGATATTAAGCGTGTAATAATGTCGAGTCTTATCTTTGTCTTCTTCTTTTTTTTCAGGAAAGACTCGAACAAAAGACAAATACAGAGTGGTCTACACAGATCATCAGAGGTTGGAGCTTGAAAAAGAGTTTCATTACAGCCGTTACATCACAATCCGTCGTAAAGCCGAACTTGCAAACACTCTTGCGCTCTCTGAACGGCAGGTAAGTCTTCTCAAGAAAAGTTTATAAATATTTCATTAAAATGTTTAAATTTTACTGTTGTTTTGCCACTTAGAAGACATAGGTTTTAGATATTTAAGTCCCGAGTGAGTCATTAGTGCTGTCGACAGCTTGAATATTCGAGCAGCTCGAATTTCGAACCGAGCCGAGGCTTGGTTTTGGGATCGGATCGAACATTTCATTATTGGCAACCATAATAAATTAATTCAAGAAAATAATTATTATTCTACACCTTTTCTTAATACAAGTTACAATATTCGAAGTACATATACATATTCGATGCAGTAGGACAGTTCGCAAAATTTCGATCTTTCCGTATTCGATTCTTTCGAGCCCCCGGTTCGTTCGGGTTCTCGAATCAGATTGATTATTCGAACCGAGTACATGCCTATAACTATCTTTAGTATAAAACGGTGTTGACAAGATTAAAAAGGTAGCATATTCAACGACGAAAATAAATGAACGCGTGCACTTTTGCAGAGAGTAGGACGTGTAGGGTATTGAATAGAAAACGGAGTTCTTCCAGACACTATTTGTCGTTATTATTAAATATAGAGAATATAGGACCACGAAAAATTATGTCTAAAGATCGTGATTGCTATAGCGGTGTAGGAGATATACAATTAAAATTAATGTTTTAACTTGTACATCAGCGGAACGTTCGAACATCGACCGTTTTGTAGTGGTCCTATGCGTCCTGTGAGCATCGCGTAACAATATGCGGCCACATGAAGAGAGGAACAAATTGCGAGGCATTTATGTATGTACATATTATGTACATATAGTGGTTCGAACGAGTCAGTTCATTTTTATTCGTTATATGTACAGTAACGACGAGTGATCGTCTCGTTTTATGTAAGGAAATTAAAAAAAAATACGACACTATAATTATACCAGGAATGATAAAAGAACTGGAGGATGAGTTGGAGAAAAATAACATGATTTGGATGAGAAAATGGTTACTAAAGGTGAACAGTTCACGAACACTGTTCGTAAACAATGCTTGGCAAACAGTTTCCGAACTTTTTATAACCACTATTTAATCTTTCCATGAACATTACTCGTAACAAATTTGCGCACAGTTCGCGAAGTTCCTGAACAGTTCCCGAACACTTGTAAATATTCTGTTACACCAGTCTACCAGTTTCTTGAGATGAATCAGTTCGTTGGTGGTATTCGTTGTACACTTACTGCTTATTAAAAATCAAAACTTGTAAAAAAATATGGATATGATTAATTCAAGTTTGTAGGAAATTGTGAGTAACGCAATAGCAGGTGTTAGCTTGTGCTGGTTTTATGATTATTCATCTGCTAACTCAACAGTAAAAACAAACGACGTTGCTGTCAGATAACATTGTTTCAAAATTACGAATAACCATTATTGGCGACGGATACTTTTTTTCATTATGAATAACCATTATTATTTCCATTTTAATAATGAAATAATACTTCTTTATGAGTGAATCGACATTTGTCGAACAATTATTGAATCTCATTAACTGTTTAAAACTCAGGACGACGCCCTTAGATACTGCTGCTTTTCACTGTGTATTATTTGAATAAAATTCTGCCCAACACTGATTTCTATACTATTCGCGAAATGTTCGAACACCGGTGGGGACGTACCTTAAGGAAGGATAGCCATAGATATGGACTCAGATAGCACCGTACATCCAAAGAATATCCGTTTCATGTCCAGTTTATATCCGAATGTCCTACTACGTCCATTTTAGACATCTCTACGATGTTCGTAAGACTTAAATTTCGAATGTTCTAGAAACATCCGTCCCGAAAATTCTACGGATGTTCTCAAAACTTAAATTTCGGATGTTGTAGAAACGTCCGTCCCGAAAGTCCTACAGATGTTCCCAAGATCTAAATTTCACATGTTCTAGGAATGCCCGTTTCTTAAGTTTTACGAATGTTCGTAGGATTTAAATTTCGGATGTTTTGTTTAGTAATTTCGGCTCAATGTCATTACGTGTAAGATGATGGAATCCCATGAGCAAGTGTCTTTCTTTGAAGAATCAATGGAGAAGTGTAACGACACTATACATATGTAGTGGTTTTTTGCGGAAACCTCAAGAAATGTGAAAAACTATGCTTTGAGTAAGTGGTTTTCTTTAACTGTCTCTAACCAACACACAATCAGTATTTTGCTTTGAAACAAAAAATAAACACAATGTGCACACAGATCATAATCCGCAGACCTATATTTTTATTATAATTCCTTATAGGAAATTTAACCTTTTATTTATTAATACGAACTAACTTGATCTAATTTCTACTAAGTGCGGAAATCGTAGGAATGTTAATCTTTTATTTATTAAGCATAAACCATTCTAACTTAATTTCTATCACCTTCCATCTAACCGTAATTTTACACATTTGGGAAACGATTCTTATACGTCTTTTAAGACATGACCACAGCATTTTTAAAAACCTTTTAAACGTTCCCAAAGCGTACAGAGAATGTTACTTTTATACATTCGGAAAACGTTCTGAGAATGTTGACACAGGACGTCCTATGGACGGTCTAGTTTGTAACTAGGAACTTCCCAGGACATTTAAAGATCTTAACGAAGACGTAGGGGAGACATATGGACCTTTTCGTTATGTCCTGCGAATGTACCGAACGTCCGGTACATACATTTTTCGGACGTACACTGACGTGTAAACTCGGCTTCCGCTAGGGGAAAAAGTAGCGGAAGGGCAGGCCTTCTACCAGATGGTCTCGGGAGTTACTGAAATTTAATTCAAATTAACATTCAGTTTAACATTTATTTCAGTTCTGAAATACCAAGTGTTAGGTTTTTGTGCTACATATTTGGGAAGTCTCACAAAAAAAGGTCGCGAACATTGATTTGACTGAAACTTTGTAAGATTGAAGAACAGCCAAAAACATGAGATACGTATTTTTTTCGTTGCAGTAACTCCAACTTAAAGAATGAAACCACCCTTCAAATTTCGACCCCCTGAGAGCTAATCCGGAAATGGTTAAAGATAGAAAAAGTTCTTTTAATAATAATTGAACGGTTTTTGACATGTAAGAAGAAAATGCTAGAATTAAAAGAAATGTTCGAAAATGTTTTAAAAATTTCGTCAGCCATGTTCATTTAAAAAAATACAACGATTTTGCATATAACAAAGAAAATTATATCTTGTATTGCAAAAACAACAGTGTGCATACATATACAGTGGCTTTATCAGTTAACACAAGAATTCAATTTTTTTTTACCAGCCACTGTGGAATCGCGTCAAAGTCGGCCGCTCGTAGTAGTACATACGGCATCAACGCTAACAATTCGTAATAGCGACGTTCAAACTGGCGGGGTTCACGATTTATGCAAATAAAATTTAAACAGAGCTCGGTTTCACCCTCTGAATATTGTAATACGTACCTATTTTATTTCCGATATTTCGTGCCTATATTTACATATTATATGCATTTTGCATTTTTTTGTTTATTTAAATTTCCCGTAGGCGTATAAACATTCGTAATTCCGTAACTACTCTATATAGTCTCTGCAATAGTGGTACTCGTCGAAGAAATGTTTAAGACATTTTTCGACATTTGTAAGAGATTTTTTGCAGCATCGTATTTAATTATCACTACATTATCGGAGACACTGCATCTTTGTTCGGTTACGACAGAATACCAGTATCTACTCTACAGAAATTGTGGAACCTACATAGGGATTGAAAACTGATTCTGAACAAAGGATTTGTGGAATTGTATTGTTCCTGGCGTGGAGGTAAAAACGATGACTATGTTTGAAAATCGGCGGACTAAATTCTTCCAACTACGAAAGCTATATACATTTAGTGGTTGCAGGTACTTTGTTCCACCTTTCGGAATACAGAGACTCCTCGTTGAGTGTTCGGGGCTCGGTCCCGCGACGGAACATTCACGCGGTAGGTGACAAGTCGCCAGCACCTTATAAATTTGTTTTTGGCCCGAAGGCTGACTCTCTGTAACAAAAGCGGGTGGGAGGGGGAGCGGGGCACAAAGTATGCACACGTCTGAACACTCAGTTCCAAGAAGCATTCTTTCTGTAATGATATTTAATATATTATATAAAAAAAATGTAAATATAATATATTTATATTCCGATAATTAAATACGGATGGTGAAACAAATATTTATTGCAAAATACAGAATGTACATAATATGTAGAAATACATAAAATAATATGGCGTGCAATTAAATTTCTAAAAGTATGAATTTATAGAAATTTTGAACCTTCTAAGTTTGAACGATGCTATCATTAAAGGTCATGCAAGGTCAAATGTGGTAGTAAAATAATCTTTCTTACATTACAGCAGATGCTCGAAGTGGTGACCGTTTGCGTCAATGCAAAGTTGCAATCTTCGTATCGCTGCATCACGTGCATGTCTTGTCGTTTCTGAACTTATTCTAGCACATGCTGTATTATTTCATAGAGGACTTTATTAAAAAATATACCAACAAACGTTCGCCAAATGATGTGGTTACAACACGACGGGTGTCCAGCGCATTATGCTCGGAGAGTAAGAGATGCACTAAACGAACTTTACCTAATTAAATGGATAGGATGTGGAGGATTAGTTTCTTGGGCACCACGTTCTCCAAATTTAACCCCATTACATTTTTTTCTCTGGTGAGCAGTGAAAAATGCTGTTTATCAAGAAGTACCCACTACATCAGAAAATATGAAACAACGGATAATTGCAGCATGTGCTAGAATAAGTTCAGAAACGATAAATTTGCAATAAAACCGGCAATCGTTTTTGTGATATGCACTGTCGCTCTATTTTTTCAAATGAACATGGCCAACGCCGACTATCTTGTCCTGCTTTCATTGTATTCCGGTTGAAACAAAATTGCGAAGAATGTCGTCAGGCGCAGTAATGTAGCATACCGACAACAATGGAGAAGCTTGTTTCAGTTTTTAAGCGATTGTCTACTCTTGCGTCCGGGTCGTAATGATGGGAACGGATACTTGGCCTGGACGATTGCTCGGCCCAATGGGCACACTCTTGGTCAGGTGTAACTGTAAGCTACATAACAAAATAACTGTCACTGTAAAAGCACAAAACATTTCCATGTTTGAAAACTTGGAATTTTTTAAAAATTGATTTTTCCAAAAATAACGGTTTGCCGATACGTATTCAATTCATAAAGATCTACCAGAAACGCTAATTGCAGGTTAGATAATTATTGCGTGTTGAACAGTGTACATAATTGAGGGATTTCAAGTTTTCACATTCAGAGACTTCGGAAAACTTAAAATCACAAAGTATGCACATTGCATCGTTTGATTTTGGTTGATGCCATTTCGATTCATTAACATCGACATCACTGTTTGTATTGTCAATCAAGTGTTTCGTGTTCTACTAACGCGCCATTTTACTTTCCGTCGTTATACATATACGGAGAATCCTCGTTGAGTGTACGAAGACTGGGCACTGAGTGTTCGGACATTATCTCGACCACTTGGGAGGGGGGTCATAGAATCTGTCAAGCGTAGGTATACAGTAGATTCACGTTAAAGTAACGGTGAGGGGCTTTCAAGGATCAGAACTTTGATTACATGAGATTGTTCTTGGAGACGGCCTCATGAGACTCAATGGCCAGAAAAAGGCATCGAATTTTCATTCCTTTTCTGCCTACGAAGTTTCATGCGACCGTTTCTGAGGCCGTCTCATCGTGCACGGTCTACTTTACAGCCAAAATAAAAAACATCCATTAAATAAAAAAAACGACGTTGAATGCCAACAGCTGCTATCGGAGATCATTATTATTAGTATATTGGTGAGATTTTTCTGATTAAAATGATACCAAATATGACGTGATTTGGATCATATTTACTCATGTAGAAACTGTTAATAGTTCATATTAGGTCATTATCGATTCTGATAAATCATAAGTAAATATGACCCAAATTGTATTGTGTTTGGTATCATTTTAATCAGAAAAATCTCATCAATTTGTCTATAAAAGTTTTATTAATGAAGAACCAAAAATAAAAAAAGTTTTATCGCTGCATTAGTATTGTCTCACCGACACCCGGGAATGTAACCTTTTGGTGGGCTCTCAACATTCAGTCGGCTCGTGAAGGAGAAGTCGTTTCGGCGCGTTGCAACAACAAAGTATGCGGTTGCCGAGTTCCCCGGCCCCCCCCCCCCCCTCTCCCCAGTGGTGGGGATGGCACCTGGACAATAATCGCATATCAACAAAGAGTCAATAATCGCGAGGACTCTGTATTATGCCAGTGCTGTCCCACTTGGCTCTTGGAAGGTGCCCGCCACGCGCCTGCTACGCCTTCTAATGATTCTTTTATATCGTCTGCCATCGTAGACAAAGAAGCTCCGACTTCTGTCTCTGTTACTCCACGGTAATGACAGACGATGGTGTGGGACGTCTTTTGGCTTTAAAGAATTAAATTTAACAGCACTGTGTTATGCCTTCATGGATTTTGACGAAATCTTTTTTAATTACTTTATTGAAACGTGCATACGTATAAGGAGTAAAATCATCTAAACGGGACGTCGGACAGTAATGGCATTCAAAATAATAACATACCGTCTATGTACAGTCAGTCAAATAAGTCTTCGTTGACCCTTTAAAACAACAACATTTTTAATATTGCACCGAGTGACTGGAGTTTTTTGTGAACTTGGAGGGATTGGTTTACTAAATGATGTGACAAAAATTTTGAAAAAGTCGCAATTGGTCGGAATCGCGAAGAAAATGAAGAAGATTGCTTTTTGCAACATTTTATTTGAGACTGTAATGAAAATTTAATAAACACATTTTTAGGATTTATGTTACATAGTTATATGTATATGTACATGCTGAAACTTGGATTGAAATCGGTTGATACAGAAACGAGTGACAGGCATCGAAAGATATAAGAATCTTTAGATTTACATACTACATAGATATGTACGTAGGGGAAAGGTGTTAAAAACGATCCCTTTAAGGCGTAATTTGTATAAAACTTACAAATGCTCATTATTTAAATAAAAGTAAAGTAGTTTTTGTAAGTTCGTCTATCTATCTTATCATTGGCTTAAATAAAATTTAGCTACCTGATCAATTATATTTTTTATTCATATTTCTTTGAAGGCATACTTAAGGATCATTTTGTACATGTATGTATATAAAATGATCCCCGGGGATCATTTATACCTACAGATAGTAAATAAGACGAACATTAAAAAGCATTTCATTTATTAAATTTTACAGCTTAAATAAAAACAGCTGTGACGCGTTGTTTTTCTTACATACCGACGGGGCATTGTTGTAATTAAAACAAAAAAACATTGATATAGCATATGGGTAAAATGATTCCTGGTATCATTTTATCCTAATAGAGAGGGATCATATGACCTCAAACACCAAACTCACATTCAGTGGTTGAATATAACCTCAACATATTGCATGCGGTGACTAAACATTAATTAACTTATTATTGTATTGTGGTTAAATCCGCGCAAGAAGCAGCTGTCACATTAAACTGTTTATGACAAAAGTTACACAACATTGAAAAAGACCTTATCTTAGATAAATTGCAGTAATTTAAAATTTTTCTTGTGGACAACACACAGAGCACTGGTATTCACATGGCACATCGAGCAACGACTACATAGTGACGTGCGGAGAAAACTATTGTAGAACGACATTACGATATAGCACCACTGATATCCGCAGGGCAGCCAAGAATCATTTTACCCCGAGGGATCGTTTTAAACACGTTTCCCCTACATACAACTGCGATTTTCAAGATTTTTAACCGTTTCTACCTCATGCCAACCTTAACTGATTTCGATGAAATTTTCAGCATGTATAAAACTAACGTAAATCTATAAAATATATTTTTAAAATTTTCATTACAGTCTCAGATAAAAGAGACGTAAAAAACGACCTTTCCAATTTTTTTTGCGATTGCGATCAATTGCAACTTTTTCCAATTTTTGTTTACCATCATTTGGTAAACTATTTTTTCTAACTTCACAACAAACTTAAAGGGCATGGTCCAATTTTAAAAAAGTTGTTCTTTTTTAAAGGGTGTGCGAAGACTTGTTTGACTGGCTACGTAGCCACTACATAAGCAACAAACGTAAACCGCAGCAACGTACGAAATTCTATTGCCTTTGTTGGAATGATTGTCTGTGGTATAGGTATACATATACATATATTCAGGGTGTCTCAAAGTAGTAAAAGTCCTTGAAAGGGGTGATTCTTGGGGTGATTAGAAACAACTTTTTTCTTAGCAAAAAGGTTCTCCGAGGTTTTGTTAACGAGATATCAACGACAAACCCCGACCAATCAGAGCGCCAGTCTGCAGCCTGAGCTTCTGCGGTAACATTAGCTACGCACCATTGCAATCCTGAAATAAAAAAAAAGAAGTTGAAAAAGGAGGTTCTGGAATTTTTTGATCCCTGTGAAATTCAAACAAATATAATGAGAAAACTAAACTGAGAAACAGTATAATATGTATGTACTGTATGAAAATGTACATACCTACTGTACAGAGCTGATGAAATGATTAAGAACGAAACGATTAAATTCGAATTACTGATATTTATGCCAAATTAACACTCAATTTAACATTTCTTTCACTACCTGGAATAAATTTACCAAGTGGTAGGAGACTTTTCTTCCACGTCACTTATTTTTCCCTAGTGGAAGCCGAGTTTGCTCGTCGGTGTACTCCGCTCGCCTGGTTAGTCTGCCTGTGACGTTTCTGTCAACCAATGGTCGCCACGAATTGCTTTATGGTTCCATTGTGTGTGTAACCGCTTAGGGCTTAGACCAATAGTTCGCTAGACCGGAAAGTGCATGTGAAGCGAGGTGTGTCCCTTCCAACCTGACCAATCGTACCCGCATTCCATCTGCTAATCATCTCGTCAGCTCTGCACAGTAGATAGGTCCATATATACATATGTATATGTACCTATATAGGTGGTTGTCTGTCAATTTGCAGATTTATTAGTGTCACCTTATGTTACTTTAATCTGTAAGTGAATTTGCCTGGGTCAAGTATCAAAAGAACTCTAAATAATGTTTTCAATGGCATGTAGTTGTTATTAGGACAGAAATGGAATTAATGATTTGCTATTCACTTAATTGATTTGAAGTAATATCCAAGTAATTCCAGTGTGCAATAAAACAGAGACTTAAACAAAAACGTGCACTTGCAAATTCACCGTGCAGATAGAAAAAGGTTGTTGGTAATTTGCTTCGAAAAAACATCTACATACGTACAACGAAATTTATATATCTAATAACTAAATAATATAATAACGAAAGAAATATTATTTCTGTTGCAGGTAAAAATCTGGTTCCAAAACCGACGGGCGAAAGATAGGAAGCAGGTGAAGAAACGCGAGGAGCTGGAACAGAAGGATTCGAAATCGATGGACGGTGTGCCGAGCGGCGCGATGGCTGCTCTGACGCTCGGAGGAATGGGAGGAATGCTGGGTGGTTTGATGCACAATGGCAGCTCGCCACCTCTAACTCTCGGTCATCCGGCGCATACACTGACTTTAGGTCATGCGCCCACTTCTTTGCACCCGCACGCCCATCAGCACGCACATCCGCACACGGTATTAGGCTTGTGACCTGACGAACCAGTCACAGAAGCGTGGTCCAGTCACGGCTAACTTCGCATTACCTCTCTGTCTCTCTTTGAATCTGCGAACGTTAGAGGAGCAGAGGCCACGCTGATCGTCGCTCGATCAATCGTCGTGACGCGTGATTTCGTTCCCTATCCGTCACCAAGAGCGGAAAGGTGAACCGAAAGCGACGCGGATATTCCCAGAATCTGACGATGTCCGATCCATCCGTGATACATTGAAACTGTTCGCGTTTATTCGGGGAATGGGTGAAAGATTAATGGATAAACTGTGATCGTAGTTTGCAAGTTCATCTTCGTTTTCCTGGGTCGTTCGATGGAGGCCGACGCGGATAACGACGGCCTTCGTTATCAGATCGCGAAGACTGGAATCTGTATTCGTCCGTCCAACGATCGTTGGAGATTTAAATTTCATTATTCGGACATTAGGCCCTTTTGTTGGCAGCTTTTTCGTTATCCTCGTCCGTGCATCGGTCGCGCGAGGAATATGGCGGCGCGACGGTTTTCGAAGTCCGCGTGCCGACGCTAGTGTTGCTCGCGATATGTATGTTGTACACAGTATTATTTTCAATTTCGCTAGAACAAAGTTCTCTTTACGAATCGTTTTCCTTATACTTTTCTTCTGTAATATAATTTCATTTTTATTCGTTTCGAGATAGTCTTGCGCGCGATTCGCTCGTTCGAGCGTCCCGCAAGAAGAGGTGTACGATCTACAACAAAAGCTTCACTGGAATCTATCTTTCGTCGAAAGGCTCCGGACTCTGATAAGCAGAATCCAAAAGATATCGTCCTTAACGGATTTGCGAATCGCCGACTGTTTGCGATTTGCCGATTTTTATCGAGAAACAACGAAAAAAATATAACGAATGGAAAAACGTGCAATTTTTGCCTTAAACCACGAGCCGCTGTACTCGTATCGAGTGGTTGCGTTGAATGCGATTAGAGACTATTAAATATGTTGCGTTAAGTTAGCTTTTCAAGAAAAGGAAATAGAAAGAAAGTACACACACACACACACACACACACACACACATTCTCCTCGGTTAAAGGTTGTCAACACTTATGCGTGTCCAAGGGGGCGCCATAGCAGACTGTTTTATATATTTCTTTAATCGCGTTAATATGTACAAATTAGACGAGTTAACGTGTCCGACGTTGATTTTGTTGGAGAAGGCGATTTTTCGGTTCAAGAAAGCTTTTGAATATTTACTGATAATCGGTGGTTAAAATATTGTTGTAAATATAGCGTTTAGGCCAACCAAAGTTTTCTGGCAGCACTTTTCTCGATTACAATGACGCGGATGGAATCAAGTGACTTGTGTATATTTTATATATACTATATATGTATATATCATATATTTCAACTCAACCGCTCAGTTCACAAAGACGGACTGTTTCAAAGCCTAACAACGGAAAACGAAAAAACGAACTATCTCCGTAAACGGAAACGTGTCGATCAACGTCGCGACGTGATCCCATTTTTGTTTCATTTATTTATCCCTCTCGAAAAGTGTTGATAATTGTTATTATATATAGTATTGTTGCAGTATTTTCGAAATGTTTTCGGGGGCAATTATGTGAGAGTGATCGATATCAAACGTGATATGCTTTCGTTATGAATTGTAAATAGAATAAAAATTTATGACGCTGGAACCCCTTGGCACTGCATTTGTATGTTTATAGTATTCTCACTCCATTTGTACAATTAAAACAAGGCAAGACGAAGAATGCGAAGCTATTGTTAATTCCGATCGAGGGACAAACTTTTCGTTTTCTTAACAGATAACCACAACTTCGACGCAACGATTCAACGTAAGCCTGATAACGGTACATATTCTGCGTTACGTTCGTACAGAACCGATCCGCTGTGTACCATAAATCTCGATTCATCGGCAAGATATTCTCTAGCAGTTAGTTTCTAAGAATTTTGTCTAAGGTCGTATTAAAAATCAAGCTTTATTTCGAGAGTAGTGATATCATGAGATAGTATAAATTAATAGAAAACGGGATCCGGCGGATTGTATGTCGGTGTTTAAATCAGACTATTCCTGTGTTCGTGAAGTATAGCCTCGAAGTGTTCCACAATAGAATCGATTTTTCAAATAATCAGGAGACGAAGCAGACCTTTCATAGAGATGAACATTATCTACTTTCCTTTTCTTCCGTGATTGCTGTCGGTCGTGTTGGCAATCGGAAGAAAAGCGTGCATGAATTGACTTTTCTTCTGAGCAGTGCACGAACATTTGAAAAATCATTTATGTATATCGAAGGCCCAATTGCTATTGTTGCGCGGGCGCAATGCAAAAGAGAACACTCGTCGATAGTAGTCAGTGAATACACACAAGAAGAAATTCTAGTTCGAGCAACCTCAACTTCAATTTCTTCAAGTGGCTTATAATTCACGAAGTTACACACGATGCGCCCATCTTCTTGTCACAATCCGGACGCTGCATTGCCGCTGAATCACTTGTAAATATATATGTATAAATGAAAAGTAAAACTGTGCCGTCGCGTGTTACTTAGTGTTGCATCGTTGAACATTCACGTGTATAGTTTTAGAGCTGCAAAACGTGGAATTGAGAATCAGAGAACGAGACGTGATCGTACAGTGTCTTTTCGAAACCACTCGTTGGAATCACCAGCCGACGACAGCATGAAGGAACTGTCCATTAATATTAGAATGTATTTACGAAAATATACGGAAAAATAAGGCCTTAATCGACGAAGGAGGAAGTTTTCGAAGCTAAAATCTTTATCGTATTGATTTTAATCTTTGACTTTGTTATCGTCTTTAGGCTTCCTCTTTGCATGTATTTCATTTGGGTTTAAACTACTTCCTTTTAACGTCTGCACCATATACTTTTTAACTTTTACACAGGACAATAAAAGTCAAGAAAGATCACGTTCTTGGATGAAAATAAGGAGAGTCAATGATTTTACGTGCCGTGTGCCTTGTGCGTTGCCAACCATTAACACGCAATTACGAATTCGCTGTAGTCGTGTGTGGGTGTGAATCAAATAGATCGTATCGTAAGTTATTATATTAATTATTAATATTATTAACACTATGAATGTTAGACGATTGTTAGGCCTAGTATTATATCGATATGTGATCGCATTTGAAATTTTCAAATACACAGTCTTATGTTTACTAACGACATCGCCTATCTCATTTCACTCCTTCGATTAAATACTGTTTATTTAATTTAAAACCTATATTCTACTGTTCGGAATGAATTGCCTACCATATATAGAGTAGTTTATCGATTATATTATTATATAATGACTACGATAACAAAATACAGTCCATAGACTCCATGAGAGTTGGATGGGAAGTTCTTCGTGAAAGTTTCTATTTTGTCCCCACCACTGAGGGAGGGGGAGGGGGGTGGAAATTCCGTGGAACTTGTAAAACGCATGTACTTTGTTGCCCCCCCCCCTCCGTTTTTGGCGTTGAGACTCGGGCTTCCGGCAAAAAATAGATTTGTGAGGTGTTGAAACGATTCGCGGTGCACCGTGGAAGTTTTGAAGCGGTTCCGAGTTTCGAACACTCATGGAGCCCTTACTATTCTTGTTTAACCATTGTGGGGATAACCGGGTAGCCGGCTACCCATTTTTAAAAATATCGCAAATCTACTTCGGATCCCCCCATTCTTGGGGTACCTCTACGCCGAATTACGCTATCAAAATAAAAATTGGTCTATACAGAAAATTGTAAATAATAAAGCTTCAACCTTATTTATACACTTGTTGGATAACCGGGGTACAGCCTGGGTAGCAATATAAGACAGGTTGTTGTTGGATAAATTGCGAACAGAAGTTATCCAATGAAATTTTACAGAATAAAAAATTCCTAAGTAATACTGTTTATTTATTAACAAAAAGAATATAAGTTACAGTTTTTAACTCTATCTTCGTAGAGAGTCAAAAACAGCACGAATAGGATGCGAATGACACGATTGATTGACTTTAGCATCGAATTGTATTGTAGTTTGGAATAACTTTTCTCGTTCAAATCGTTTTCAACAGCACTTGGTACCTATATTATAGGAAAGGAAAACTAAGAGTTTCGAAAAAGTATGAAAATAAAATAATCTGTTATTATCTAATCTATCGGAACAGGGCGCTTAGGGTACCCGGCTACCTTGGTTTCCCAATAACCGTGAATACATAGATACTCTGGTTGCCCACACAAGGGTTAAAACATTAGTGGACAAACGTTACTAAAAATTGTAGACAAATAAATATATCTTACAAGGAGAGGACTCCCAATGTAAACCTCAAAGTTGGTTCAAATTTTTCTCACTTAAAGTGAGAAACTTAAAGACTATGCACAAACTCGATTTTCTAGGTCGGCGGTTCGACTGCCAGCTACCCCGTTGGTTTTTTTCTCACATGTTTGTCCGACATATTTTACTCATAAATAAATGAGATATAACTTTTTAAATGTTTTATTACGTCAGAATAATGTCAATGGAATATTAACAAATAATAGAAATATAAATCACGTAAGAATTAAAAAAAATAATTCACGTGAGAAAAACCCAACGATAGTAGGCAAAAGTCGAACCGCCGACGACCAGATTGCAAGTCATTCATATTAACCGACTCGGCTACACCGCTCTTGTCTTCATTGCTTCAAATTATGTCTCATCCTGCCCTCTAAAATCTTAATTCTTAATTTTCTCAACAACGAAGGTCTATATGACAGAACCCCAAGAGTGTTTGTTTGTTGCATAGTCTATACTTTAAGTGAAAAAGGTTTAAACGAAATCTGAGAGTTACATTTGGAGTCCTGTCCTTGTTAGTAGATTGTAGACGATGACGCAGATTTACATTTTTCTAGACTAATGCACAAACTGCTTTTGCAGTATTGCTCGCTCGCTCGCGCTCGCTGAGCGGTACATACCAAAAGAGCAGTAAGTAAGAATGCTCGCTCGTTCCTGCTCGCTCGTGCTCCCTCCCTTGGTGAGTAGGTATCTATGCGGCTTCAAAAGAAAGACATGCTTATACTCGTCTGGTGTAGACTGTCATTCGTTGTATTCGACTGCTTGGCGGGTATTTTATACCTATCTAGTTGCTGCTCTCGCCCGGGAACGTTGTATTCCGTGTGTGATTCAAAATGGAATGGTGTAATGACAAAAGTAATTCCACTCATAGAGCCTACCCGGTTTTATGGGATTTTGGCGATCCGTATTTTAAAAATAAACATCATCAGAAATGGATCCTATTCATTACTTCACAATCTGCTCGTAGTCGGTGTTCGGATCAATTGCGAACAGAAATGAATTCGTTCCAGTGTGGACGTAGGGCAAGCCTTTCAGTTGAACACGGGCGAGCACTTGTGAGCACGAGTGAATGCTCGCTCGTGCTCGCTCGCTTGGCAAGTACGCGGTTTCTCACCTGGTGAGTATACACGCTAACATTTCGCTGACAATTTTTTCAATTAATTTTCATATATCAGGGCGATAGATTTTTGTTCATGAATTTTATGTAATTGCTAAAAATCCTAATAAAACATCTAC